AATTACAGAGTATAATGCATCTATTTTGCAAAAATATATAATTACATAAACACTTTCAAAAAGGTACCCTGTTTTTCCCTTCGTAACAACCGAAATATCGTACAAATAGAGATAATATAATTATCTGAGGAACAATTGTCAATAAGCAGAGAAGTTCTTAAAATATTAATGCAAGACATGGAAGCAGCTGGTGTTGTTCCTAAATTAGGAACAATATTTTAAAATTACTTCACAATTCTTCTTGCACTTCATATTGTTACAAACTATCAGAATATAAAGAAAGTCAGAAAATGGACAACCTCAGCTTATAAAACTGCAATTTTTTTTAACCACAAACTTTCAACCACTGGATCAGATTCAAAGGATTTTATTTAATCATGAAACACTGCAGAGATGCAAAGAAATAATCATTATAACAGTGTGCAAATGCTCCACGTTATACTGTGTCCAAGCTATAGACGTCTCTGAAGCGACACCCTGTCATCCATTCATCCAAGAGATGTAACCAAGCTAAAAGACACTGCCTCTATTAGATAATTATTAGATAATCATCTTTGAAAAACAATCTTTAACATCAGATTAATGTCAGATTTTACACGGTCAGGTGTATCAGAGTTTAACTCAGAAAATTTAACTTTAACTCAAAACGTATTTTAAATAAATTTCAAATGAGCCACCATGATAAAGGGAATGTGTGCAGTTTTGGTGCTCCGTAAGTTCTGTGCTGAACAGCGTGGCTGACTCTTTGTATCTACTATTGCCTCCACAGTCTGAGTCCACACAAGCAATGAGCCATTATGACCAATTATGAAGTCCCCTGCCAGCTCACGCTTTTTTGAGGTTATGTCAAAAGGTTTCTTGGAAAGAAACACGGACTATTTGTTTAGGCAGTCTGAGTCAATGGGCTCAGTCAGTGGTCACGTTGTCTTATTACAATGAACACATGCAGTGTAGTTTATTTTGAGTTAATCCAGCCTTCTACCTGCAAGAAATCTTTAGTGCAATATGTAATCTGCTTCTGAAAATAGCTCCCAGCAAGAAGAATTTCTTCTTTCAGCTCTAATCCGTGAAAAAAATACAAAAAAAAACTTGGTTGGTCTGTTCATTGTCACCGCTCTGATGTCAGGTGTACATGATTGGAGGATTTGGGGTTGGGTTCTCTGCTCATTCATCACTGCAGATTTTAGTTAGATTTGTTTGTCCGTGGGAACTGTGGGAACCTTAAATTACATTTTGGATGTAAACAAAAAGAAGAGCGTGAAGGGGTGTGAAGAAAAACTGATTTTAAACTTTGTTTTTTTAACTGGACTCTGGTGCCATCCTGTGGCTGCTATGAAACAAAAGTGAAGTAATGAAAATAAAAGGTGTTCTCAGATCAAGTCTGTTCTCTGTGGCATGTTTTTTTAATGGTTTCTACAGTGTGAGTTAATGAAAGGAGGATGTTGAAGCAGCTTCGCCTTTACATAAGCTGCTAATTGGAGCCTTACATCATCTCTGTGACAGTCCAGTTTTGTGGTGGTAAAAACTCTGAAAACATCTAAAGAATTTTTAAGGCAGTCCTTCTACATAATCCTATAACTCTGTGTGCTAATCCAGTCTTTCCCAAACTTAGGAATGTATTTAATCACAACTGAGTATGAATTCTGCTTGTGTGAAGTCTTCTGGTAGCTTGCTTGTCACTGATGTGCTTTATTCTTGCCTTTTTATACCTCAGTCAGTCATAGATCAGGTACAGTGTCCATCTCCAGCTGGTGCAGAGAGCAACATATCACACGTATTCCTGCTGCCCTTCACTGCTTTCAGTGAAATTCAGAGGCCACTTTAAAATCCTGTTATTATCATCAAAGCTCTGCATCAGGGGTGGGGAACTCCAGGCCTTAAGGGCCGGTGTCCTGCAGGTTTTAGATGTGTCCTTGATCCAACACAGCTGATTAAATTACTTCATTAACCTGTCTTGAAGTTTTCCAGAAGCCTGTTAATGAACTGCTCATTTGATTCAGGTGTGTTGACCCAGGGTGAGATCTAAAACCTGCGGTTCCCCAGGGTGGGGATGTAAGCAGGGGCTGCTTACATGGACAGGACCCTGCTTATATCAGACCTTCTGAGCGGGCCTCTCTCATCCTCTAACTATGGTCTCCCAACTGTTCCTCACTCTGACTTTAAAACCAGAGACAATCCTATTTTTGAGGTTGCTGAGAAAAATCACTTGAACAACCTCTAAAACCTGCACAACCCATAAAAACAACCTATAAAAACTCAGCCAGGCTGATGTTTGACAGGTTAGCTTTCCCTTAATCTTCTCCCCTTTATTTTGAGCCATAGATTGCATCCATTTGCATGTATCGAAGTGTCTTTGTGAAAATGATTATGTGTCTATAACTTATCTTTAATGTGTGGCTTTTATTCAAATTTAGATGCACTTTGTAACTCTGTCTTTTAAAAGGCGCCGCAAAGACCTTGTGAAAACCTGGAAAAATGTTGCTCAAGACCACTTTAGCAAAATTACAAGAAAGTTTGACTTTTTAGGAGTAAAATATAAAGAAAAGGGGAGTGACTCACCATCTTTGTGATCTAGATGTACAATATAAAACCCAGCAAAAACCTCAGGCTCTTCAAAGCCAGCATGTCCTCCACTGAACTTTCACCTTCTTGCTCTCATGTCTGGCCCCTCCTCCTCCTCATCTCTCGACAGCTCGAGTTTTAACTTCACTTCCAAATTCTGTGTGAAATCCTTTCTGTCTCACTCAGCCATCTAATCATTTTTATGACAGATGTGCCCACTTCATGGGACAGAAGATGATAAATAAATAACAAATTTGAAAAAGAAATGATCCAGCATGTTTCTTTGGGGGGAGAAAAATCTGAATATAAAAGCAAATTTTTTTCTGTGTCTCAGGACATAAAAGATCTTTTCCCTGACAAGGATCTTTTTGCTTTTTTGTGCTTTTCAATATTTAATAATGCAGTATTTTAATTCAATGTATTTTTCTTTTTTTTTTTTAATTTATAAATAACATCTTGCACCTGAAGTACCTTCAGTGACCACCAGGGGACGGCAGCTCACATAAACACGAGTTTAAACAATTGCTCAAATTATTCCTCAGCAACTATTCGGCAGATTTATTGTTTGCATAATTGTTTTCGGAAAGATTGTTTAGTATTAATTTTTAAATTATTTTTCTTCCCAAATTATGTTTAGATTCTTCTATCCCTTGTATATCTTTGGGTTTTATATTGTCAATTGAACTTCCAATAGTTACCAGCATCATTGTCTCTCTGTGCTCATGTTGGCAACTTGAGCTCCAAGGTGGATGCCTTTTGATTTAAACCCCTTAAACATTTCTTATTTCCTTTAAAATCTAATTAAAAAACATTTTAGAGCCGAGGAATTAGGAAATCCTAAGTTGAAGTTGAAGTTTGACTTTACTCATGTCCTAGTTTGTGTATGTGTCTGTATTTGTATCGCCACATAACTGATTTGAGGTTCACGTCTTCAGCTTGACTGCAGGTACGATGAGAGGAACAGTGACTGGGGGATGAAAAGAGGGCGGGCAGCACAGATGGAAAAGCAGATTGGAGTTTCTCAGGGGAAGAAAAAGAAAAGATCGTGTGAAGCGAAGGGGCTCCTTTCATC